CGATCTCATCACGGGTACGTTTTTTTTAAAAAAAAAAATTTGTGAATTGTAGGGAAAAAAAAATGCATTTTGGCCGCCGGACGCGCAATGAAGCCGTCCGGCGGCGCGACCGGGACACGCAAGAAACGCGTCCCGGTTCAACCCGGAACGGGCGCGTTCTGGGTTGAACCGGGACGCGTTTCTTGCGCGTCCCGGTCATGCCGCCGGAAGGCTTCTTTGCCCGTCCGGCGGGTAGAAAAAAAATTTTTTTTTTATTTTGTGTGGCCGCCGAACGGCCATGGAAGGCGTCCGGCGGCGCGACCGGGACGCGCGGCGGCCACAATGTTATTTTTTTTTAATTTTTTTAAAAATTTGTTTAATTCATTATTAGTGTTTAATTATGTTTAATTTAATGTAATTAGGTTTATTAAGTAGTTATTTAATAATTAATAGTTTGTGATTTAGATTGAGGTTCTCTATTAGTTGGTTATTTAGTTTAATTGTGTAAATAATTTAATTTGATTAATAGTAGATTAGTTCACTACCTAATTAGTTTGATTGATTTACTCATTAATTTTAAATAGTTATTAAAGTATTTTGGTTATATTTTTAATTTAATTATTAGTAGATTAGTAAAGTTAATCATTTTAATTGATTAAATTAATTTAAATAGTACGTAAATTAGTTGAATTTTAAAAACTAATTTAATTAATAGTAGATTAGTTCACTACCTAATTAGTTTAATTGATTTACTCATTAATTTAAATAGTTATTAAAGTATTTAGGTTATATTTTTAATTTAATTATTAGTAGATTAGTAAAGTTACTCATTTAATTGATTAAATTAATTTAAATAGTATGTAAATTAGTTGAATTTCAAAAACTAATTTAATTTATAGTAGATTAGTTCACTACCTAATTAGTTTAATTGATTTACTCATTAATTTAAATAGTTATTAAAGTATTTAGGTTATATTTTTAATTTAATTATTAGTAGATTAGTAAATTTACTCATTTAATTGATTAAATTAATTTAAATAGTATGTAAATTAGTTGAATTTTAAAAACTAATTTAATTTATAGTAGATTAGTTCACTACCTAATTAGTTTAATTGATTAAATTATTTTTAATTTATGTAATAGTAGATTAGTAAAGCTAATCTAAATTGTGTGTAATGTAGTTTATGATTAATTAAATTAATATAAATATTTTGTAAAATAGTTGAGTATTTTTAATTAATTATAATTAATAGTAATTTAATTAAAAATTTGGTAAAGTACTTTAGTTTACTTAATTATTATATGAATTGTACGTTTAATCAAAGTGTACTTAATTATTAAACTACTTAGGATTTAGGAAATATGTATAGTTATTTGTTTAGACTATGAAAATATGATGATGATGATGAATAAAATTTTGTTTATAGGTTTATTGTGATGATGATGATGATGATAGTGATACTAGTGATACTGAAGATACTAGTAAGCGTAAGATTCGTGCGCGTTATCTGACCATGAGTCGTCAGAAGAAAAAAGAGGAAAAAGAGAAAAAGAAGCGAATGAAAATGACTCAGGTCAATATGGGTGGTGTACCGTTTCAGACTCGGTCTAGTCAGCCGATTTATGTACCCAGTATTCTCAGGACAACCTGGAAGAGGAGGATGAGAATGAGGAGGATGAGGAAAATGAGTTTGATGAGGATGATGTGCAGGACAGTGTTAGGATGGATGCGCATCACAGAGATACGCCTGTCTTAGTAGTTACCCTCCTCCCCGGTACTCCAGTTGTCCCCGACCTGGTCCTGGCGGTTTACCCTCTCCCCCTACCCCTATCCCTTCTCCTATGAGTGGTGAGTGACGCAGTCCACATTATAGTCCCTCTTTCCCGCATCCCGGTCAATTCCCACAGGGTATATCCACCGGTAGTCGGCCTCGTCCCTCCCGCCCCGCTCATGCATCTCCCCCCTACATTGATCCCGTGCCCCCTCGCGGAGGTCCCGTCTCTGCTGGAGTATGTACACGTCCTCCCCCTCTCATTGATCCCGTGGGCCCTAGCCGAGGTCCCGGATCCACTGGAGTATCTACACGTCCAGTTACCACTACTGCATCATCAGGTACCAAATATCTATATTTAATTATTGTAATTATTTAATATTATGTAATTATTTTTAATTAATTATTTTCACTTATATTTATTTAATTGTTGTATGTGTATAAAATATAATAAATAATATTTGGCTTACTCATTCATGGTACAGGCGGCGGCAGCCAGTTGAGAGTTTCTGATGAAATTGATCCGACTATATGGCTAATGACAAATGAAGTACCTGGTGGGACGATAGATGGTAGCGTGATTCCTAGCTTCCTTGGGCATATTGCTTATCATTTCTGGCATGGATACAATAGACCCACATTGAAGATTTTTAAAGGCGAAAAGATTCTGAATAAGTTGAAGATGTGGTATAAAGATATGGATGATGTAGTGAGAGGCAAGATTCGGGGGACTGGATTGGGTCACCTTCTTCATACCTCGTATGAAGATATTGATCTTGGCTTAGTTCAGGCATTTGTTGAGAGGTGGCAGCCGGACACCAACTCATTTCATTTCTCGTTTGGGGAGATGACCATCATGGTGCATGATGTTTATCATATTTTGGACATTGGGGTTGATGGAGAGTTGGTGTCAGGTACGTCCGAGACAGATGTGTTGAGGGGACATGCAGCAGGGATACTTGGCCTGGATGTGAATGGTTACAAATGAAGTCATGGCGGTGTCTCTGATTGGATCATCCTTGAGCGATGCCAGAAAGCGGACGATAATACCTAGGCCTCTGCTTTCTTGTAGGTATTGTTGGCCTCGACGTTGTTCATGGGCAAGAATGGTGGGAGGTGCAGTGTTTCACTTATACATGAGCTGATGGCTGGGATCGAGAATATGGGTTCATACTCGTGGGGCTCTGCTATGCTTGCGTTCCTATACCGTCAGTTAGGGATGGCTAGTAGGGCAAAGTGCACTCAGTTAGGTGGTTATTTGACCCTACTGCAGGCCTGGATATACGAGTATTTCCCGATTTTCCGCCCCCAGGGAGGGCGAGTTACCCGTGGGGGTAATGACAGGCCCATAGTACATGACTGGATACCACCATCTTTTGCGGGGCTGACATCTGTGCCAGATCGTCTTCGTCAGGTTAGGGAGCGTCTCAACTGTTTCACCGAGTTTGAGGTACATGATTGCTTCATTTGACTGTAATTCATTTTATTTTTTTGAAAATGATATTTATAAATAATCTAAATAATATTTTGCAGGTAAAGTGGGAGCCATTTGGACCTGGCTAACAAGGAATAGTTCCAAGGACTATCTACAGTGGGTGGATAATGTATAGGAATGTGCAGGAGCCATACATGCCGGACAGATGTATACGTCAGATTGGCTACGTACAGAGTATTCCTCGTTCGCCCATGTCCCCTGATGATGCATTTCGAGGACCCAGGACTACCAAGTACTTTGTAGAGCATTCTGCTGTGGACACACTCAGTACTTGGAGGAGATTCCCGGAGTCAGCGTGTATTAATTTGACCAGATGGCAACCCAATATTGGTGACATCGTAGGAGAGTGTGAGGATGGGTACCTTGAATGGTACAGGCAGTATTCACATCCATTTCTGCTTCCGACAACTGACCCATCTGCAGTCTCTACACCAGCTAGGAGCAGTCGGGATTATGTAAGTTGTATTTTTAATATTTGGGTTTTTGTAGATATACATTTCTATATTATAAATAGTTTAACCTTTTTTGGTTTTTGTTTTTTCAGTGGATGAATGAATTGAGGAAGCTGACGACAGCCTGATTAGAAAGGTCAAAGTGTCCGATCGCGACCTAGCTGACAAATATGATGAGAAGCTGCAGGATACGATGATCCATTATTACAAGGCCCCATGATCATTGTCATTGTCGTATTATTGGACTGGATTTGTTTGTTTTTCTGTTTCTTGGACTGCATTTAGTTTTTTTTTTATGCGTAAATTGTGTGTTATAGATTAGTTAGCTTATTTGGTGTCCGTGTGGTAAGTTTTTTTTTTTTTATGTCCAACAAGGTTTGTTATTGCACAAATCATAAAAACCAAACAAATTAGATACTAGATAATACCATTATCATCATCACAACAAACAAACCTACATGGATCTAATCTAAGAAACTAAGATCAATGAAATCATTATCATAATTCACGGGTCGTCGAGGATTGGAGGGGACCAACCTATACCAATCTTGAATTCTAGGAAGAAGTGGTAATTCCCAACCAGCAACGCTAGGCTGATGTTCTTTAGTCCACCGATTATTGATTTGGTGGAACTGGAAAGTCACCGTCCAAATTGATCCGAATGAAGTGCTTGTAAATACCAAGGTGACATACCCCAATCTCATATGCCAGACATGTTGCCTCACCGAGTGCAGTGACAGGTAGTATAGTCCAACATCAACTGTTTAGCGACTGGTTCTCTTCCCCTGTACCGAAATAGTACACAATTGTATTGTTCATAGTCGCAACTATGAACAAGTCCGTCGTACACATCCAATGGCGATCAGGTGCAAAACCCTGTCCACTCCACCGTATACGACTAACTTCTTCCTGGCAGGACGTCCTGCATTTACATATACAATTATTTGTGGAAAATACTGCCAAGTTCAGCAAACATCATAACATAGAAAATGAAAAATATTTATACCTGTATATTCTACTGTACAGATGTCAATTCTGTTCTAGCTCGTTCGCCATTGCCTCTCTCACCATCGCCCACTTGTCCTGGCACAAAAACATGTTACTCGCGATGACGCGAAATCAACAATTGCCATCGGCACCAACATCAAGGTAACTGGTAATATATGGCCGAATGGGCCATGGAATGAGGTCGTAGCAATCATACTGTAAAATATCAATCGCAAAGATATCTGTACATTACACGGAAGAAATGTTATTTGGAACAATTGATAATAAATAAATAATGGACGCAACAATTACTTCTTAACATGTACCTGTGGATGCATCTGTACGACCACCTGAAGACGAGGGGCGCTTCTTACTTGAATCGCTAGTAACTGTGGTCGACTTTCCTTGAGCCTCGTCCCTGTAATCCCACACATTAGGTATTGCTTTTTTCTGTGGTGATTGTTCATGGACAAGAGTGTTGGCCTCTGCTTTTTTCTTTGATTTAGCCCCCTTATGCCGCCCCTTCCTTCTCTTGACCTCCTCGGGTTGTTTAAACCCACACTGGTCTGGATGCATAATATCGTGGAGAGCCCTATTTACCGTGCGTCGTACTGCCTTAGGACACTCGTTCAGCTCTTCCATCAACTGTCTGGTATAAAGGACCTCGTCATCCACATCGTTAGGAGCACTCGTACCAGCCTGTTCACCAATATTAAGGGTCGCCCAGAATGGGTGAATATGCTTAAGTGTAATCGATGTGCCGGCATCTGCAGCCTTTTTTAGGGCGCATGCACATGGAATTCGACAAGTCCAGTACACCACATGATCACATCTGTCATTCGTTTCTTCTTTCCACTCTTGCACCTTCGACCGCTCAGTGTTCAGTTTTTGCAAACATGTATGTGAAACTTCACACTTCAAGCGGTTCAGTGGAAAACCGCAATAATGGGTGCCAATTTTCTGCCTTGAGTACTCCAGTTTGTACATGAATGTAGCCACAAACAAAGTGTAAAACATTCTACGTAAAATGCCATAAAAACAAAAAAAACTACTAAATATATTATAATAAATATAATATAATGGAATAGAACTTACCGTATTTTGGTTAGCTGACTATGAATTTCCAAGTGCACCCTAGCCCAAAGTGTATCCAGCGACGCCGTGGATGTTTCCAACCAAGTTTTTAACTACTTGTGCGCGCTCTCCACCCTACCTGTAGTAGTGTTGCCCATATGAAACACAGCATTCGTCCATGCCTTGACGAATTTGTAGTCAACCACTAGCCATGTCTTCTGGATATAATTAAGAACTCTCGGAAAAGACTGCCAACGACGGTTTATTACGGCAACAGCTTTATTGTACTCATCCTGATTATTAGCTTCCACAACGTCTTTCCACAACCCATATGCAAAACCATTTCCAATCTTGGCCTCAAATTTCAATTCCTTGTTGAGATGTCGTTTTACATTCTCATAAACATGCCAAACACACAACAAGTGGCATGAATCTGGAAGTACCACACCCAGCGGCGCCATCAATCCCGATTCCGGATCAGTAACAATAACAGTCGGAGACAGATGACCAGGAAGCAAATCCCTAAACTGTCTCAAAGCCCAATAATAACTGTCACCAGTCTCGTCACTCAAGAGGGCGTTTGCAATCAGGAAGTTCTGGTTACACGGTGTCATCCCAATAAACTCAACCAACGGCATTTTGTACTTGTTCGTCTTGTATGTTGAGTCTATCCCGACGACCCAGAAATAACTGCAAAATAAATTGACAGCATCAGGATGTGCAAAAAAAACACCAGTCAGCACACCTGTCTCCTGATTACAATCTGTCATGATGATGTAACGATGATGCTTGGCCACCGATAGTGTCTTCGTCGCGACATCCATGGAAGTCGAGTCACCCAAGACTGGGAACCCCTCATTACGCAATTTCTTCCTGAAATTGTACACTTGCCGTCTGTTAACTTTTTCATCAGGAAAGATCCTCTCAATCGCAGCCATGATCTGACACGGTCTGCACCCATCTCTGGACATACCCTGTATAAGCTGTTTCACTCCATCGCTAAGGCCCCTCGTGGGATGATCTTCGTCAAACAACTCGTGGTTATGCATTCCAAACTCACAGGATACACCCAAATGCGCCACTTCCCATCAACTAAGTGCACATATAACTTAAATTTACACCCAGTGATTTGTGTCTTCGAATCTGATGTGACATAGTATTCACCATCATCAACTGACACCTTTCCCCCTTTACAGCATCTCATCAGAACAGCATTCTTCCTCTTGCTAGAAACTACGTTTATTATCATATCATTTGCCATGTCCATGCCTTTCACCCAAGCAACAGCATCATCCTTTTCTGAAAATTCCTCATCTGTAGCAAACAATATACTATAATCTTCACCATCGCCACCAAAATCTTCTAAAGAATCCTACAAATTAAACATAAAATTACCACAATAAAAAACTGCATTATAATAAAATAAATTAAACACACATTCCAATCATTTAAAAAAGATATACAATTATAATAAATAATAAAAAAACATATATTTACAGTAAGAAGATTAATTATTTACTAAATTAAATTTCCCAATACCAACCTAAAAAGCTAGAATTCATTTCCAATACTTAATAATTAAACCTAAATAGATAAATAAAATTCAACTAATTAAATTACATAACATAACTAATTAAATTAATAAATAAAATAATAATATTCCTCCTTAATTAAATTAACATAAGATGCAATAAATAAATATAATTCAACTGATTAAATTACTTAACATAACTAATTAAATTAAAAAATAAAATAATAATATTCCTACTTAATTAAATTAACATAACATGCAATAAATAAATAAAATTCAACTAATTAAATTACATAACATAACTAATTAAATTAATAAAAAAATAATAATATTCCTACTTAATTAAATTAACATAACATGCAATAAATAAATATAATTCAACTAATTAAATTACTTAACATAACTAATTAAATTAACAAATAAATTAACATAACATGCATGAAATTAAAATTAAAAAAATTTTAAAAAAAAAACCGGGTTCACTGGCCGGACGCGCAACACGCACGTCCCGGTTGAACCAGAGATGCGCAACAAACGCGTCCGGTTTAATAACCGGACGCGTTTGTTGCGCATCTCTGGTTCAACCGGGACGTGTGTGTTGCGCATCTCCGGTTCAACCGGGACGCGTGTGTTGCGTGTCCGGTCGATTTCACCCGGACCGGGCACGCAACACACGCGTCCCGGGCAATGTACGCGTCCGGTTCAATGGCCGGACGTGTTTGGTGCGCGTCCCAGGTTCAACCGGGACGGTTTTCTGGCCCGGTTCGGTTTTTTTTTTTTTACTTCTAAATTGCTCATTTTCTTTCTCTGTCTACTGTATTAAATGATAGGGGCAAAATCATCCAATTTTTTTTTGGTGACTTTGCGTACTAAAGTTGGGGGCTTTAATAATCCATCCCCAAAGGAAATAACTTGGGCACGTGAAAGCTAACCTAATTGGTTAGGAACAAAATGGGATTAGCATGGAATAAGTAGTAGTGCTCTTGAAATGCAAATTAATAAAATATAGAGTAGCTGGATAATAACACGAAGCTAAATTTGACCTATTCTAAAGGTTAACTAAATCAAGCCTGCTTGAAGTTTTCAGAACCCAAAATATAATCCTATTCGCAATCATCATTTGTCTTTGGGATTAAAACGAGATCAACTAATATAATATTAGTTCAAAACGGTAGATAAATTTGAAGTAAATTCTACTAGTAGAAATGCATGTAGACCCGAACAAAAAGCTTGTGCATTTTGACAACTCTTGAGAACAAAATAGAACACCCAGGAAGCTTTTGGATGCCACGCATAGCAACTTAAGCAGGAGCTGGCCTCTTTTCCTTAACTTGCTGCCATCAAGTTGTCCCAGTTGTGTGTGGAAGTTAAGCTTAAATAGAAGCCAGAAGAAGAGTTTATAAGATAAACCAAGAAACATCTTCCTTGACTCATTAGCATAAAACGGCAAGCAAGGCTAGCAAGAACGAAGATTAAAACCAAAAACAATACAAAAAAAAAAAAGAAAAGAAAAGAAAAGAAAAGGGCAGAGTGGGCGAGAGGGGAGAGAAACGGGAAGAAATCCGACGAAGCAAAGGGGAACTTCGGCGTCCGATTTTTGGCGTTGCTATAAGCTGTTGTACTTGTTAACAGGTAATGGATGCCCTTCTTCAGCTAACCGATTATTTTTTTTAATTACTTATTCTAACATCTGGGAAACAAATAACAAGTCTTGACGTGAAGAAGCAACATGGCTTAGGTCTTGGTCTAATTAGGTAATAGTTGTATGTAGCGGGTTGCTAGGGTTTAACAATGGCTCTGTAGGAATAAAATTGCATTATATTATAAGTTTGTGTTGCCGAAATGATTCGGGGAAGACAGCACCGAGTTGTACAAATGGAAATGAGAAGCAGAGAGTTGTAGTTTGAAGCTTAAGTCTCGACCGAACTCGAGAGGGGGTTTAAATTGACCATGTAGCTAGCGTTGTCAAGTGATGGGTGACGTTTATACATCCATTGTCCTCATGGAACCCAGTAAGGGAGAAGGTGCCGGACTCTGTCTACAATCATCTTGGGTGTTAATTGACCAAACAGGCTCGAGTTCGGCTTAACTTGAAAGAGACCATTTGAATTTGAACTTTGAAATAGGTCGTCGGGAAATTACTAGTAGTACAGTATTTATTTAGTTACGTTGGTAGGATCCTTGAGCTTAAAAACTATTCTTGTGAATAACGCACCTATAATTTACAGAGGCTTTTTGGTTTGGGTTTAATTAGCTAATTGAGTTTGAACGTGCATACCAAAGCCGGCATGTTTTAGGAACCATTTACCCAAAAGTTAAGAAGGAAGAATGTAACAAAAATGAGGTAACTAGTCCCAGTGAGGTGCATAGAGTAGTCTCAATTAAGAACATGTGATTAAAATCTAATAAGAGAACAAACCGAGTAAGATATGAACGAGCATATTAACTAAGCATTAGTAGGTCTCTCAATCATGCAGAGCCAGTTCTACTTTCATTATTATGTAGTAACTTCGTCACACTTGCAGAGAAAGGACTTGAAGGTTTCAAAAAGGGCTTAGCAATACTTGTGAGTAATTGTCACTCTTTTAAAAACTGGGAGTATGGGAATATGTATTTAAAAGTCACTACACACATGAGTGTATTTTTAAATGTTATTGAAATATTAAATGCATATCGTTAGATGACCTGGAGGTGTACTTTATCGCCCCAGGGTATGTGTTCTATGTGGCTTCTAAGTGTTATTGTATCTGACATAAAATGATATCGTTATGTGATCGAACGTACTTGATTGAATATGATCGTTGAGTGTGTTGCTTCTGGTAGTGTACTTTATTACTCCAGGAAAACTATTGTTGTGATTGATTGATTGATGTGAAATAATGTGTGATTGTTGTTTCGGTAGACTCTGTTCACTTGGAGCCTGAGCCCTGCCTTTGCTAGGCGAAGCCTTGCGGGCCGGCATCGGGCTTGGTCAATCGGTGGCTACGGGTGTTGAGGAGGGATTGTTATTGATATGGAATTGTTGTCCAGATGGATACTATCGTATTGTTGAAATCTGGCTTGGAATCCGTCTTTGTGCCACGTAGGTTCTTTGACGGCCTTTGCTAAGGTTTCCCTGTATTCACCCTACTATTAATTGCTTAATGTGAAGTAGTTAATTGTTGAATGATTCTATGTGAAATTATTTTATATTGAATATTGTTTTATAAAAACAGTTTTATTAAAAGTATCGTAGTAATATAAGTGAGGTTTATCACCTTATAGCAAGTAATACTAAATAATTATAGTCCGCAAGTTTGTGAAGAGATTGCGTTAAAAAATTTAATTAGATTGAAGAATCACAAACCAGAAATACCAAAAAAAAAAAAAAAAAGAGTTTAAGTTGTATATGTTCAAGAACAGAGCACTTATGTGAAAGTACACATAAACATGTGTTAGTAAAATACGTTTGTAATGATTTTTATTTTTATTTTTTTGGCCAAGGTATATATTTGAAGTACAAAGAGATTGTGAGAATTTTGGATTCGTAACATGTTGATATTAAAAAATATATTATTATTTCTCTTGAAGTAAATTAAGTTGGGGGGTTGTCTATTATTTTCTACATTGAATTTATGTAGATCAAGTAAAAAGTATATTACCCATTAGAGTTTTATCTATAAGGTTATAATTTTACATTAATAAATTACCATAAAATGATAGAGTGATAGAGTGATGTGGTTGCGATATGTGGACTTGGCTATCTAATTTTTTGACATGTAGAATACTATGTTTAAGATTACGTCATGTGTCCGATTGAAAACTCTCCTTTAATATATATAACTAGTGTGTATCCCGCATGTTGTGTGGGTTAGTAGCGAAGGGAGGGGGTAGCAGTAGGGTGGTGGCTTCCGTTTCCTAAAAAATTTTCAATAAGAGTCATTTGAAAATTTTAGTACAAATTTTTTTAAAATAATACTTTTACCCTTGCAAAATTTTTTTTATACCTTCTAGTCCATGAAAAATATTACATGAGTTTAAGATATATATATATATATATATATATATATATATATATATGAGTTTAACTATTTAATGATTATATGACATTTTTGACGAAGTGATATATATATAAATAATATTGATGATATAAATTATTGTTTAACTTTTAATGTCAATGTATTTTGTTATTTTAAATATATTTGGAAAAAATTCGAAAGCATCCAATGTAACTTGTTGTCCATCTTTTTCATTTTGTTAATTTATGAATGTACATTTTTAAAAAGTATTTTCTTAATTTTTAATAATAATCTCTTTAAATATTTCTACTTGTATCATATCTTTTAAACTCTCTCTAATTTTTTTTTTAATCAAATAGGAAGGTAAGGATGTTGTTCAGGTTCTATCTAGCCAAAAAAAAAAAAACTCAAGGGGTCTATGCAAGATGTAAATTTTTGAGCTAGCCAGCGCCATATAGCATATTGCACCTAAGAGGTCTACCCAAGAGATAGACAAGTATAATATATAATTTCCTAGTTACACCTCTCCCTTATAATTTTATTAAAATAAACTGAAAGATAACAAGGGAAGAGTATAATCGTACCCTTGTTAATTACAAAAGGCCTCTACTTTAACCTTACCCGTAGGTAAAGAAAAGATTTTTGATCTAGAAGTACAAGACCCCTATCATGTCTAGGCAAACCTATCATACTATTATAAATCTCAGAACATCCAAGCGATGCTTGTCTGACTAATCTATCAGATACTGAATTAGCCTCTCCATAAATGTACGACAATAGGTAAGACCACCTATACATTATTGAATGAATCTCCTTAATTTGAGCATCAAAACGCCATGGAATTGACCGCAAAGAACCAATTAGATCAACCAAAACCTTGCTATCCGTCTGAACATGAACTAGTTCGAGACCTAATTGCTCACATTTCCGTAAGCCAAATAAAAGGCCATAGACCTCTGCACTAAAGCTGTCACCACCACCAAGGTATCCCGATTCTGCATATACAAATTGACCATCACTCTTCCTAATAACAAAGCCATATCGTGATTCCGCATTAACCGCTGAGCCATCTGAGTTCAACATAACCTTCCCTTTGAGATGAATTCCATCTTACCACCAGACAAGTATGTTCCTGGATTTTTTGAACTTTGATGCCAAAAGCTTGCTCCACAAAATCCCTTTCCTCCACACTTCGCACTTCAAGTCATGAATTGTCAAAACATCCCTTATTCCCCTTCTAATCCCATGAATAGCCATTTTGGAATCGAATATTGCCCCATTAAAAGAGACTCGATTCCTTAACTTCCAAACCTCCCAAAAGATAAAAGAAGGAATGATATTAATCAATGACTTAATTACTTTTGAAAAATAACCCTATTCTACCAATGAAGCAAGACTCCCAACAAAGTAGTCTCATTTCCAATATTAATCTGGAAAATATAGCTCTCCATATGCGGTTCACTTCTGGACAGCCAAGAAAATAGTGGAAAATGCCATCCTCATAAACTTTCTCTCTAATAATTCTCATTATTATTTCTTTTCATAAACTTATCTTTATTTTTTTTATCTCTTTAAACACTTTTTTAACTTTTCTTTAGAAGTTTGTTCAAATATTTTTCCATTATAGTGTTTACTTCATTTTTTTTTTAAATGGTATTTTCTTTCCCGGTTGCATAGTCTTCACTTTTTTTTCCTATTTGATAACCCCTCTTCAAAGCTTCATTTCTTGAAAATTTTGTAATAATTATTTCATTTTTTACTATTATCTAAGTTTCTTTTTTTTTTCATATTTTCTGATTCTTTACATAATTTTTTCCTCCATATAACTATTATTGATTTTACAATATACTTTTCTTCTACTGTTTGTCTAGAGAATTTATTCTTTTTCTACGCTAGAAAACTTTCTCCCTGTTGATCTCTACGTTTTGTTTTATCATCATAACGTTAACTTTCCTACCATTATATCATATAGAAAAAATATAAAGAATATATTATATAATTATAAATTTATTAGTAAACATTTATTACATTATATATATATGATATAATATATTATTATATTATTAAAATTTTTGCGAATGAGGAGTTGGTTCAGTGGTAAAATCACCCTTACTTCCAAGAGGAGGTCATGAGTTCAATCCCCCACTACGACAAAAAGTGAGGGGTTTGCTCTCACTATGCGCATTGGCACCTCTAGGGACTTGTTATGGCAAACCCACTAATGAACCCCCCAATTTCGCACCTTTAGGGGCTTGTTATGGCAAACCCACTAATGAAACCCCAATTTCGCATCTGAGCTTGTCACATCGGGCTGGCCTAGTGTGGTTTACCTACCACTGTGGTTTGCAGGCTATTGCAGTGAGTATGGCTTTACCCAACTCTGGTGGGGTTCCCGGCGTTGCAAAAAAAAAAATTATTAATTTACTTTTTTCTTTAGTGTTATTATTATGTTACTTTATCTCTATAATTTTCACATAACATAATCAATATTATTCATTTATTAGTATTGCCTATTAAAGTAGAAATTGGATGGTTCAAAGAGTTTCGAATTTTATGGACATAAACTTCAAGGAATCTGGAAATATGTCTTTGTGCACATGAGACATAAAAAAGATGGGCATATATTTTGAGGGCAAACAATAAGAGTCAATATAGAGGCAAGGAAAGGGTGAATTAAACTCTAATGATGGATAATTTTGATTTTTGCAAAAAGAAGGGGATGAAGGTGGAGGCCGGAGAGGAGGAAGGAGAAAGATGAAAGTTGAGATGAGGAAGAGGAAAGATGTAAACTAGTGGAGGCCGAGGGAGAAAGGGCAAAATGGTAGAAAAGTTAAAAAATTTCTTTTGTTCTATCAAACCCACCAAATGAAAGTGGATAGAAAGAATGGGCTGAATTACTTTTCGCAGTTCAAAAATTACTCACATGCAGTTCGTTTCTTACAATTTTGCCCTTGAACTATTTTCTTTCTTCTTCCTTCTTCTCCTTCCCCATCTCTTCTTCTTCTTTCTCTTTTATTTCTTTTTTCTCCTTCCTCCTCTCTTCTTCTTCTACTTCTTCAAATCTAGATATACTAATAATCGGACACCAAAAAAATGGCGGAACGCGGCTGTCAACAACGTGAAAGCTCACCATCGATGTCGGTAATTTTTTTTCCAAATAAAAATTTAAAAAAAGGCTGGCCGACCCAAACGGTAGCTAGCCCGGGAACCTTGGCCAGATTTCTCACCGGTCAAGGGACATGGATTGGCCTGGTCAGGGAAGGATTGGCTGGTCCCTGACCAGGCCAATCCATGTCTCTTGACCGGTGAGTAATCCGGCCAAAGTTCCCGGGCTGGCCACCGTTCGGGTTGAAGGATTGGCCGGTCCCTATCCCTTGACCGGTGAGAAATCCAGCCAAGGTTCCCGGGTTGGCCATCGTTCGGGTCGACTAGCCGGGGCAGTTTTTTTTTAATTGTTTTTGTTGTACTTTTTATAATTATTTTACTTAAATTATTTATTATTAATGTAATTAGTTGTTGAATATTGTGTTATTAGTTGTAATTAATTTAATTATATTTTTATTAATTTATAATGAAAGAGAAAAATTTAATTAGTTTTGTAATTAATTTAATTATATTTATAATTAATTTAATTATATTTGAATCTATGGAGTATAAATTTAACAACTAATATGTATAATTAATTTAATTGAATTTATTTTAATTTATATTTGAATCTTTAGGTTTAGGTATAATTTAATATGTATAATTATTTTAATTGAATTTATTTTAATTTATATTCCATTAGGTATAATTAATTTAATTGAATTTATTTTAATTTCTATTTGAATAATTATTGTAATGGAATATTTATATAATATTTAATGTAGGTTAAAAGGATAAATTAGTTAGGTATAATTTATTTAATTAAATTTATTTTAATTTCTATTTTGATTATTGTAGTGGAGTAGTTATATATATTTATTAATGTAGTTCAAAGGAGAAAAAAGAAAATGCCAGATGTGCCTGATTTTTCATGGTTGCTTGAATTGGCACACGGGACATGCATGGTCGAGTTATTTCTGCCTCATATCGTCGTGGGAATCCAACTGGGCGTAAGTCAAAGGGTGAGTCGCAGATGGGTCAGGCCGGTTGTAGTGTGGGACTTGACGATGTATTTGATCATGCCAGTTTGGACTTACAGAATGTGAGTGACAATGATGATGTCCCGACTGAAGATATCGACTCGGAAGGGTTTAATGATTTCGTAGGTGACTCGCCTCCACATTCAACTCCACATTCACCTCCATATTCACCTCCACATTCACCTCCAACTAGACGAAGCAATGTTATTCGTCTTAGGATTAGAGGACTTGGAGCTGCACCTGCATCAGCATCTGCATCTGCAACTACATCATCATCAGCAGGTAAGAAATTAGTGTATGGGGTTTATATTTTACATTTTAGTAAAGTTTTTTCAAATATTTTATCGGGAAAAAATTGAATGATTTGTTTACGTTAATTTCAGCGAGTAATGCCAAGCCTTGGGTTGTCACGAGACCAGTTATTGGTGGCCCTCATGACGGTTCTATTATTCCCAGTTTTCTTAGTCATGTAGTCCATCGCTTGACGAACAAGTCATACAAACCCTCTTTCGAAATGGATACAAGAGTCACATACTTCAAGTTGTTGAAAGAATGGAAGGGTTCTATGTCGACTGAGGGTTAGATCTTGTTGGCTGGTATAAGGCTATCCCACATCGTGGATATCATGCACACTATCATAGATAAGGCATTGATTACAGCATTTGTAGAGAGGTGGCAGCCGGACACCAATACGTTTCACATGCCTTTTGGGGAGATGACCATCATGTTACATGACGTGCGGCAGATATTAGGTATTCCCGTTGAAGGTAGATTGACTACAACACAACCTCTGGGACTGTCGATTGTAAGACTTTGGTCATGAGGGTGCTGAGAATGACTAGCCAGACGCTACAAACTAGTAAAGTAATCCACGGTGGAGGGGTTCAGTCGGGCCTTGTTGCGAAGACAGGTAGAGCGGCAGGGCTTGCTTTAGATCAGGTGACCGCCTGGTTATGGATCATGTTAGGAAACACGTTGTTTACAGACAGGAGTGAGACTCGGATTAGAGCGGCGATTCTCTCCAAGTTTATTGATGGCCTAGTCAGATGTGGCAATATTTTGTGAGGGTCTGCTACTCTAGCCTATCTCTACCGTTAGCTAGGCGTGTCCACCAGATTGAAAAATGCCTCAATGTCTGGTTGCTACATACTACTTCAGGCGTGGATATATGTGTACTTTCCATGTTTCAGACCACCTCGGGGCGGTCCCTTTGAGGCTCCTGATCGGTCCGAGCTGGATGGTGGAATGTCCCAAATCCTGATAACAGTCCAGATCGTCTGATGCACCTTCGCAGCCAGATTGACAAGCTGACACCCGATCAAGTACGTCACTTTTCCCACTTTTAATTAATAATAGTTATGCAAAATAATGTTATTAATGTATCTTATATATTTTGTGTAGGTTGAATGGTTACCTTATGGCCCTGATCCTATTTTCGATGATCCAAAGACCATATACAGTGGCTGGATACAATACCGAGATATTATTGAGCCATACTTGCCTAGTTGAGTATTGCGCCAGATTGGATACATCTAGGTCATCCCTCCACCCATTCCTCATCGCCTGAGTGCAAATCGTAGTGGTAATCACCACGCCTACAAGGTTTTATGGAGGCCCACTGAGGCGTTTGATGCTTGGATGCAATTCCCATTCAGTACCGGGCTGGATCTAGAGTATTTTAAGCGGAGTGATCATGATAAGACTGCATGCACTCCTAATTATCTCCAGTGGTACTTGAAATATCCGCATCCTTTCTTGGTTGTAGATGCCACTACAATAGGTGGAGTTAGAACCACATCTCACTTAAGTCTTTATTGCATAACCAATTCTTGAAATATTTATACAATATATTATTAATTGTGTAATTTTTTATTTATTTTTAATTTTTTTTTCCAGGGGGTCAACCGATTATCCGAAATTCATAGAAACGTACTTGAGACAATCCGCGAAATTGATGCAGAGAGAGTAAAGGAGCATGAGGCATTATTTGCTCAATTTCAGGATGATTTCCAATTGAGTCATAGAGATTGATGTGTATTTTATTAGGATGTGTTACTTCTTCCCCATTTCAGAATATTATGTTATGTGTTACTTCTTAGATTTCTTCCCAATTTCATAATGTCATGTTATGTGTTTTAATTTGCAATGGAACATATGAAATTTAAATAACTAGTTTTAACAATTTAAATTAATGTTATGCAACTACTAACTAGATTTAGATAGTCTATTCCACTCTGTTATCCTAAAGTGATACTCATCTTCCCAGCCTACAACATTGTTGTCACGCCACCTAAACCAATAAGAATGTACAGGAGGTACAGGAAAATCACTACTAAAATCAACACAAATGTAATGATCTACACAGCCGAGGTGAACAAGCACAATCTCACGAGTTGGTCTTCCGGCGTCTCCACAATCAGTAAGGGGCAACACTGTCAAACAATAAAAACTCAGATCCCCGTCTAATTTATTCCCAAGACCATAAAGAAAAACTGCAGCATTCTAGATTGTAGCAATCGCGTACAAGTCTTGTGTGCATTCCATATAATGGGACGGAAGGCATCCACCTACCAGCCACCTTAACCGTCATATGTTTTGTTCCCTGTCGTAGTAATACGGAGGATCATATAAATCCGGCCATTTAATAAGATCTTGAATAATGGTTGTTCGAACCAACAGCCAATCCTCTTATGAATTTCGAACATACTCTGCTACACATCGGAACCCACAGTTCCCATCTCCCCTCACATCAAGGTACTCCCGAACGAATGGAACCATAAAAGACGGAATAGATTGCTGATACTGATATGAATGAAAATCCGTCCTCCAACCTCTTTGCTCACCTAAAAAAAATAATATTCACGTTATGTACATTGCCGAAACAAAATGTTTAAAAATAAAATGTAACATCAAAAAAAAAATTCAAAACATTCTTACGACTATCATCGTGTATATGCGAGGATGTGCTCATGCGCGATCTCCCTGAACCAACAGTATACTTCTCCTAATAACACCATTTTCACGGGATATTCACTTTCGGGCGCTCTTTAACACTTGTTTTCACCGCAGGTTCCTCGAAACTCATCTGATCATGGTGTTGCTCTTGTTCCTCGAAACTCATCTGGTCATGGTGTTCCTCTTCTTCTAGCTCATGGTGCAGAAACTCATTGACGCGGCTCAAAAATTCAGACCTCTTGTTGAATGCCTTAAGGGAAAGCTCTGTAAAAATCGTATGCTCTTCTGACACAAAAGGTTGAGCATCATCACTTGGGGCCGAATCAGGTGTCGCACTTGTAAAATTAAGTCTGCACCAAAAAGGGTGGAGGCCGGCAACTGTAATGGGCACCCGCAACTCCCTTTTCTATTTAAGCTCACATGCACAGGGGATTTCATGGGTCGTTCTCAACACACAACCACAAACATCATCCTCACCCAATTACTGCATGCGAATATGCTCACTTTGAAGAATGTCCAAACACTAATGTGAGACACGTCTAACTAGACGGTCATAGGGAAACTGAAGGTGCTCTCTCCTTGAACAGCATTCTGATTCGGTTAGACGGTACCTACATTTTAAATTCCTCACTGTTAATATAAGAACAATGGTAATAAGTATTAAAAACAATGAATGAATTACGTACTTGATCTCAATTAACTGATACTAGATCGCTGTGTGGGTTCTTGTCCATATTGTAACTAGGTGACTGGTCGCCGAGTTAAGGAACCTCTTCATGGAACTATGGGCGCTCTTCATCCTACAATTACTTGTGTTTCCATGATGTGTGACCCCATTTGTCCATGCACGAGACCACTTCTCCTTGTTAACTAGCCAAGTGGTCTTCACATAATGCACCAACTCTCCATAACTTTTCGCATTTGGGTGCCTGTAGTATGACATATTAATCACAACCATTTCATGAAGGTACTCAGTAGGAGCTTCAAGTATCGGATTGAACATCTCCTTCTCCACCAGTTCGCGAATTTCTTTCCAAAATGTCGCCGTGCGTTTTCAAAAATACATTTGTTGATGTGTCACACGCACAGAAGATGTGGAGAATCTAGAAATATCAAACTGATTGGTTCTGCCATCCCTAACTCCCTATCTGTCACTATGGCATACGGGTGCACCTCCCATCTAATCATATCCCGAAGCTGCTGACATGCCCAAGTATAACTCTCCTTCTTCTCATCCTTCATAATTACATATCCAACCAAAAAATTCTTGTTGGTTGGAGCCATCCTAATAATTTGTAAAAACGGCATATTATACATTTTTGTTCTATAAGTAGTATCCATGCCAATATACCACGAGTATGCTCGGATCAATTCTATTTGATGTGCACAGAAAATATGACTCAACACACCTTTTTCATTAGCCGTAGAAATCACATACTTGTGTTGCTGAGTATTGTCAAAGAAGTGATCCACCAACATTTTACCCCTCCTCTTTTCCACCTGCATCCTACTCTTATAGTTGTATATCTATTTGATCACAACGTGCTCGTCCGGGTATTTCTGCTGAATCGCCCCCAGCATTGCAGACGGTTTTACATTAATGGCAGTCAACTCGTCAACAATCGTCTTCGATTTATCACTAAGGCCGCTCATCTGCATCTGTCCCTCCTCGAAGCTGCCAAACGGGTGGTTATGCGTACCATTACGACGGAAATATGAATGAATCCCAAAAGTAGATTCGCCTGGGCGAATTTGGGCTAGAAGCCAGAATGAGCATCCACAATACTGCGCCTTTGTTTCTCGCACCCGATTTTTTGTATCTCTAGGGGGAACACCCTTTGGACCTCGTAATAATTTCTTAGTCTCATCTGTTTTTGACGCCTTAACCACTGTGAAATTAAGAGATATTGCAGTCTTTTTCGCCCATAGCACAACGGCTTCAATAGTTGCGAATTTTATGTTAGTATCAAAATGATGTCGGTAATCAACACCGTCACTACCATAATCCTGTAAATGAAATATATAAAATTTAAAAAAATACAATATACATAACAAAATAACTAATTCATTTATGTAAATAATAATTAATTATTAAAACTAAATACCACATACAACTATATATTTAATTAAATTAAACAAATATATACCACATACCTAATATACAATAATTATTAAATTAAACAAATTATACCTAATAATTTAAATTAAACATGTTACTAAAGCACAAAAAAAATTAAATGACATATAAAAAATAATAACACAATATTCAACAACTAATTACATTAATTATATATATATTTAACTAAATTAATCAAACAATAATACAACAACTAATTACATTAATTATAAACAAATTTAACTAAATTAATTATAACAACAAAATTACAAAAAAAATTAAAAAAAAAAACAAAATTAAAAAAAAACAGCCTGCCCATGGCTGGCCAACCCGACCAGCGGTCCGTCCGGGAACCTTGGCCGGCGAAAAATCCGGCCAAGGGTAGAAGATTGGCCGGGTCAGGGACCGACCAATCATTCATCCGACCCGACCGGCGGTCCGCCCGGGAACCTTGGCTGGTGAGAAATCCGACCAAGGGTAGAAATGGATGATTGGCCGGTTCCTGACCCGGT